AAATATTATATATATTTTATATTATGATGAGATTTTTTTAAATTATTATACAAAAAGTTTAGGTGCGGCTTTGCTGCAAAAATCTGCCACCCCTGTTATATACAACATAATAAAAATTTTGAAATATAAACAAATAGTTTAGTGCGGCTCTTGATGCAAAAAGTCTGGCCACCCCTGTTATAGACAAAGAAAAACCATCATTTTATATAACAAATAGTATTATATATTTGATGAAAAAATTAGTTTTATTTTCATATTCTATGTTATAATTAGTAAGGTGACCAATATTTTACAATGAAAAGGAGGACGAAAATATTTAAGAAAAAGGTACAACGTAGATAAATTAAATATTTAATTAATTAATTAGTATTTTTTTATTAAATGAATATTTTTTGTAAATTTATCATTTTCTAACAAACTAACTAACTAACAGGAAATTTCGGAGGAAGAAATATGCTTCATATTGAATTTTACTCTCTAAGTGCTGCAGCTAGAGTATCAGCGTTCAATCTTAACAATTGAAATTGTTAGAATTTAAATATATATTCGTTTTCTAATTACTTGAAACAAATAATTGTCATCTATTTTAATATCAGGCATTTCTTTCGAAAATATTGCAAAGAAAGACAGGTAGAAGGACACTTTCCTAAGAAGGACAGAACCGACAGAACCTACAAAAGAAGGATTAGTCACCTTATAAATAGTATCAGTACCTTTTTCATTTAAATTTTGATAATATCGCTTATGTATGAATACGATTTAGCACTTAACTTTGATTTTCTAATTGCAGCTACTTTCTTCTTGATGGTTTTTATTTTATTCAAACCAATTGTTTTCTTCAGACGTTGAATATTTCTCTATTGCAAGATGATTTAGAACATTAAATTTATATTAGAAAATTAAAATGTAACTATTTCATATGATTTAAAAACGGGTTATAGTGTACTAATAATTGATGCTATCTCTATTTCGTTTTTGTGCACAAAACTATCGACTGGGAGCGTAGCGCACTCCTGTAATCCTTGTGATTGGGAGGTCGGGTTTAGAGGATGGTTTGAGGTCGGGAGTCCTGGTGCAGGGTGTTCCAACGTTGACTAGGTGTCCACACTAAGCTCGGCGTCGATATGGGCACCCTGGAGGAGTCCGGGGTGGCCAGGTTGGCTAAGGAGAGGCGAACCGGGCCAGAGGAGAAATCCAGCAGCCAAAAGTCTCCGCGTTGTGCAGTAGTGGGATCGCGCCCGGGAGTTGGAGCCCTGTAACAGCCTGACCAATACAACCAGACCTAATCCTTTTATCAAACCTATAACAACTATAAACCTAAATATTTATATCATTTTGTTACTTCTTCATTTCATAATGATATAATATCCATATTTCTTACATAACACCTTTAGGATAATTTTATTATAGGCAACACATGAAGCATTATAATTAGTTTTAAATATAGCAGTTTTTTTCTGATTGCATACCTAAGATACAGGACTATGGCCAAATGCACTTTTTGAACTCGACAACACTTATTTACTTTATTTGATATATTAGAACTTTTTGGTTCTTTGTATTTGATAATTATTCGAAATTTTTGAAATAATGTTTGAAGAAAACTTTTCTAATTTTCCTGGTTGTGCTTATTTTCATATATAGGACATCATGACATATTTAGAAATTATTGAGATACCATTTAAAGTAAACTATGTGCTGTTTGTATTGCAACTCTTGTAAAGTTGTTTTGTAACAAACATGTTATGTAATACCATTATCAAATGAAGAAGTAACAAAATGGTATAAATATATAGATTTATAGTTGTCTGGATTGGGTGTGATTGTTTTTTAAAAATACTTATAAATAATATGCTGAAATATATATTTCCTGATACAAATTAAGTAAAGAAAATGAATTATTGAAATATGTGCTATTCAGAACAATATAATCATTAAAATGTATATCTACTGTTACTATATCTAAAAAGCAAAATAAGAAATATGCAGGAAAAGAAGTAGATAAAACCATATTAACATTGAACAATTTTTAAAATAAAGTTGAGCTTAAAAACTGGTACAATATCATAAAATAAATAATATGCCAGTTCGAAAATTGGTTTAACGCTCCAGATGAAAGGTTTTGTCTTGATTTGATTGTTTTCGTTGAAACGGCTTCGGTATGATCGTCGATTTCATAATCTTCACTTTCTACAAATGGATATTGTGGTGCAATTCCTAAAAAAAAATTAGTCTAATATCATAATATTTTATAGTTGATACTAAAATATTATAATTTTCCAGCATTGATATTATCTATTTTTCGCCAGTTCAAAAAATTGGTTTAGCACTTTACCTGCGACGATTGGTTTCGGACAGCAAACTCCGGCAAATCTGCAACAAATTCATACATTGAATAGAAATATTATCTGCAATTGATACTTTCGTATTTACTTGTTTTCGATAGAGCAGAAATAATCTTTGAATGTTTGTTCATCGGTCAATTTCGGTAGAAGAATGTCACAATCGCTGACTAACATGCATAATCCTTCCTCGCTCTGTGGATCTATGCAATCAAGCCCGGCAGGTGATGTTTCATTGATACCCAACGTATAACGACCTAAACGGATAAATGTCGATAACTAAATTGATTTTGTAAAATACCATTTTACCTTTGAAGAACTTTAAGGTTCCGTCTTTGTTAAATTTATTTTCCAACCAAGGTAGTTTTATTTTCATTTCGGTAGGAAAAACGAAAGGTTCAATTATTGATGTTGAAACGACTTTGGTATGATTGTCGATTTTATTCTCTTCATTATCTTCAATTGGATTTTCCGGTGCAATTTCTAAAAAATAATAATATTTTATTGTGATAATACATTATTTTATATTATTGTATGCCTCAATAAGAAATTAAATAATACTATGTAAACATAGGTAACATGGTTGTTTAGTATTAAGTTTGTGTTTCCTATAAATGATCCTGTTCATATAAGTTATAAAAAGATAATAATTGTATATAATCTTACTTATGTATGATATTCATTATAAGATTACTTAAATATATTTTCATATGAAGATTATGCAAAAACTGAAGGCTTTATTACTGATTATAGGACTGAACAAAATCTTTTCACTTACTAACCAATCCGGCCTTGAAAGCTTTAGCTAGAATTGAATTATATAATTAGATTATTTAATATAATTTATAAAGAAAAACAAACATACTATTTGGAGTAGATAAAGCTTTTTGGATGTCCACGGATTCAATGCTATTGGGTTTAACAACTGCCATCGACGATACGGGAGTTATAAACGAATACTTTAAAGCTAAATAGAGAGCTTTCTTTTCAATTTCTTTGACATTAGTTGACGTTTCTTTTTCTTCTAACAGCTTTTTCACTGTCATATAAGCCCACAGTCTGTAAATTAAGTAATTTTAACATACTAAGATATTTTTTATAACAAACACAAATATTACCTTTCTAATTGACCAACGCTTTTATTAACTTTAGGCCGGTATTGGACTGGACCTTGGTTGCCAAAGCAGTTCACAACTGGTGCGACTACGTTTGAGTTTTGTGGAATTTTACCAGAAACTACTAATTCTCCGCCTTCATAAAGAATTGGAAAATTTGTTGTCGTAAGACTAACTGTGTCGGGTGTGTATGTAAATGTTATGTTATTCAACAAAGGTGATGATATCTCTTTATAGAAGTTCTGCAACTGAATATCCGAATCAAAGTCTTCGTAGATTTTGCGTTCGAAACCAAAGTTCTTTTGAGAGAGTTTCTTTAGCAAATTGTGATCCGCTGAATCACCAAACGAGAGACTGATAATGGGGATTTTGATGTCATTTTCTTTAGATATCTGAAATTAGTAATTTAGGTTTATCCTGTAGGATTTGCGAATCAACTTACACCATCAATAATTTCATTTTTGTTGGTTTTTCCAACCGTCGCCTCTCCATCAGTTAAAAAGATAATCAATGGTTGAATATTATTATTGCCAACGCGTTTCCGTCTCAATTTGATCAAATGGATAGCGACTCTGAGTGCATCGTAAATATTAGTACCGCCTTTTGCCCGCATTGCTTTCACGAGTTTGTTTGTCTCATTTATGGTAGTGTTTTTGACTGGGTAAGCTGGTGCGAAAGAGATATTCTAAACGAGAATCAATTACCTTCCTGAATTAGTCTTTTATTAGTATTAACTCACTATAATTTCTTGGACTGCAGAATTATCCCTTAAAGAATTTGGGAAATAGGTGCTTTCCTCCGGAGCGTCCAAATTCCATACTTTTGCATGAATATTAAATTCTACCAAGTTGAAATAATCTTTCGAATTAAGATCGCCAAGGATATTTTTCATTGCTTCCTTAAGCTGTTCGATTCTCCTACCGGCCATACTTCCGCTAGTATCCAAAACAAATACGACGTGTTTCACCAATGGTTTTAGGTCTGGTGGTACAAAGAAATGAACGAAATATCCATCTTTAATCAATATTTCGCCACCTTGCGGATCACGCTCGACATCGTACTGCACGACAAACTGTCCAGCAAATCCGTCATCTTCCTCAGTACCTAAACCATGAGCAATACGCTTTTGTTTTTCGAAGTCTGGTTTAAATTTAATAACTGCTTGCTCGGCCTTTGGTCTTTCGATTTGAGCTCTGGGATCCAATTCATCGTTGTCTTTAAGAATCACGTTTCCAGTGCGGATTTGCGGGGCCCTCACAAAACTCAACGGACGCGATTCGACGATATCGACTTCAACGTTCAAATCTTTCACCAATTGTCCTGGATGAATGTTGATCACCAATTCGTAATAGCCTTTTTTCCTTTCCAGCAATTCCTCGTATGTTAAATTGAATACTGCTTTACTTTCTGGTTCAATGTTAACTTTCACTGTAAACGTATTTGAATCTCTTGCGTTTACCGAAACATGAGCTGCTCCAATCCCACTTCTCACCGCCTAAAACAATTTATACTTTAAATAAGTAAATTAATTGTAAAAATGTGTTTTACTCCACACATCATCATAAATCTTCTTAGCCTTTTCCTTTTCTTGAACATATGCTGTATAATGTTTTCCATCAATTTCTAAAATGAAGGCGGAGATAAAAGCTTGATTAGGAAGGACGACGAAGAATACGGCCTCTTGGGATTTACTCGCGTGATTTTTCACTTTACCAGTGACCGTAGTTTGCGCAAACCGATTCGTTATATACGTTTTGATGTTCATTTCTGATATTTGTGGACGCAGATTATCATAATTTGCCTGAAAATAAAAATAATTTTATATTCATATTATATCTGCGTATATGCTTTACCTTTTTAGCAGGAACTGCTACATTAGGGACATCAGTTACAAGCACCAAACCTTTATCCACAGGAATAGCAGCAGTGCAAGAAGCAATCAATGCCGCAACGGTGAATATCTTAAATACGGCACAAACCATATTTGAAATAACACATTAATTGTGATCTTCCGTCGACTCACCAAATTATATTACGCAACAATCTTACCACTTCAAAATGGGGATGTGTAATATTAGGTGGAGTCATAATGATTGCTTTATATAACTTTTATCGTCCTACTCAAATATTTGGAGTTTAAATTATAGATAAAATTCACAAACTCAGTGCCGTCCTTTGGATTTGAAGGTGCCGGATATATAAAGTGGGGCCCTCATTAAATAAAAGAAAAATAATATATTGTGAACATCCATTTCCATGGATAAAACCAATTTGTGTGTGGAGAGAGGCTGAATTCTGATCTGTCTAAGGGTCTCATCATTACCAAGGTCAACCATAGAGACGCTACTGCAAAAGCTATTAAAAAATATTACGTACAAGCGGTCACCTTGTTGTGGTCGCAACAGAATTAAATATCACAAAAAGATAAGCCATATTTTTATTATTTTAAATTATGTTTGGCTAATAAATTATTATTATACACTCGGTCCTCTTTTTATGCTTACTCTTTTTATGCGGTTTTGAAGTTATTTTTTTAAATAACTACTTTAGGCCATTTTGACACGTTTTGACACAAATTGGCAAACCATTTCATCGAAAAAGATGATAATTCTGAACGAGCATTCAAGTTTCAACGCGAGCTTCAGAATTGCATTTCTGGATATCAGGAATTGTACAAAAAAATAGCAAAGCCATCGCAAAGTTTTATCACTGATTATATTGTGAAAGGGAAAAAATCAACATGCGAAGTTGAGACTAATTTTACTTGTGAAGAATCATCATCTTCAGGACATAGATCTGATATGCTGACTATCTCTTCTAGTGATGAAAGTGATTTCGAACCAGTTCGCAATTTATGCCGAACACTTTCATATAACAACGATAATTCTAAAGAAAAAAATGTGAAGAAAAATTAACTTTCATAAAAAATTTCTGTATTTCTTTTTGTAAAATTTTTCCGTACAAATTTAGAAGGAATTTGTTAAGACTATATTTTTCTTAAATAAATTTAATCTTGACTATGATTGTTAACGTTTTTATAAAATTATGAATAAACATTTCAGAAAGAATATAGTAAGACTAATTATTTTTCTGAAATTTTATAAACCCTTTTTTATGCGATTTTCGGTATATTGTAACTCATTGATTTAGTTTTATGCGGTTTTAAAAAAATATGGAACGTATCCTTTATTTTTATACGTGTGTCTAGTCCTTTTTTGTGCGATTTATTTTTATGCGTTTTCCTGTGGAACGTATCTACCGCATAAAAAGAAAACCAAGTGTATATGTAAGTTTTTAATACAAATGTCTACATAAAAAACAAGTTTTTTCTTTTGTGGTAGGGCCCGAATTATATTTTGCGAAGGGAGGACACTTTAAAAGTTCTACTCCTTCAGTGTATATCGAAATACATATTTCAGCAAATTGTTTATATGTATTTTTAAAATATAACTACACCCAATCTAGGCAACTATAAACCTATACATCTTGTTATATTTGTTACTTTTTCATTTGATAATCGGACATCACGATACAATTGTACAAGGTACACCCAACAACTGTTAAATTTTCGTCATCAATTGCGCATGAGATTTTTGGTGACCGTATTGTGAGATAAACAAAGTTTAAGTAACAATTTAATATACCAAGACAAACATAACAAAGCAACTTTATGAATTATATAATTTCATTTATCCTCAAAATTTGTTAATTTTGACAAAATTTAAGGGCTCATGTGTACCTTGTATATTTGTTTCATGGAATTATAAAACATGTTTGGTACGTAACACTTTGAAAGTGTTGTAATATAGACAACACAAATAGCACATTGTTAAATTTCAAATAGTACTTCAATAATCACTAAATATTAAATGATGTTTATTAATAAATACAAACAAAATCAAACACTCTAAAATATTTAATAATTAAAAATAATAAATTTTTCCTTCAAACATAATTTGTATTTCCAATTATTCGATAAAAAAATGTCAAATACGAGGAAACAAAAAGTTCTAATATCTCGAATATATTACATAAAAACAATAACTACTGTATATTGGAGATCTTGTTCTGTATAAGTATAATTTTAAGTGTAATGTTAGGTATAAGTATAATTTTAAAGTATTCTAATTAATTTCTAATTGTACTCATTAAGGCAATGAGGCACTAGTTTGTAATAGATGATTGATTTTCATATTTTTGGGGACCGCCAAAGATATTTGTTTAGGGGCTCAACTATCCTTAATTCCCCAATGAATGTACCTTCAAAATTATTGAATATTTTATGATAATTCATATATGGCAGGGGTGGCCAAACTGTGGCTCGCGAGCCGCATGCGGCTCTTCAAGAGTTTTGTGGCTTGTTTAGCCATCTCTGAAATACGGTATACGAGTACTTGTTAAATTAGATGATTTATAATTCGAAATATTTTGAACACGTTATCAGACACAAATAACTATATGTCATTAGATAATCGTGGTGCAAAAAGTACTTAGAACATTTAAATCTAATTATAATGCTTCATATGTTGCCTATAATAAAATTATCCTAAAGGTGTTATGTAACAAATATGTTATTATATCAATATGAAATGAAGAAGTAACAAAATGATATAATTATTTAGGTTTATAGTTGTTATAGGTTTGATAAAAGAAATAGGTCTGGTTGTATTGGTCAGGCTGTTACAGGGCTCCAACTCCCGGGCGCGATCCCACTACTGCACAACGCGGAGACTTTTGGCGACTCCCGACCTCAAACCATCCTCTAAACCCGACCTCCCAATCACAAGGATTACAGGAGTGCGCTACGCTCCCAGTCGATAGTTTGATGCAGAAAAACGAAATAGAGGCAGCGTTAATTATTTCTATAGTATATAATGTACATTTGTTACCTGAGAAACTATATTATTGCATCAATTAGCACATTTTAATAAACATATTTATAAATAATGTACTTACATTTTTTCATGTTTTAAATATTCAGAGAATTTAGAAAAAAAAACTTACAGAAATTGCTAAAGAAAATAACTGATATAGTGATATTATTCTTTAATTTAAAATTTAATATAAAGTTACTTTTTGTATACAACTTTCGTTCTCATACAATATTTGCATTACATTATTTATTAATATAAATTGCACCAGTATAACTAACCTAATTATTAGAGGTTTTTTTTACATGTATGTTTGTTTATTTTGCAGACGATACTAATAATGTTATGCAATGTGATTAAAAAAAGAGTGTTGCAGAAAGGAGAGGAAACGATGAAACGTGAGGTGAGATTGGCTATCTGTAGCAGAACTATGCAAACACCGAGGATTATAATACATTTGAGTGACAAGGTCGTGAGAAAAATTTAATTTATCATTAAGTTGATTTATTAAAAGGAATCCAGGAATTTTGAATAATTGTTCAAAAATTTGCAGAAATAATATACAAAAAA